GAGCAGTACAAAGACAACTATGCCCTTATAGGGCGGCAAAACATAAAACAGCATATATAAGACTCAAAAACATAATAAAATTTGGACTCGCATAACTACTGTGGTCCCCACCTCCTATCTAACAACTGACATAAAACATCTACTCAGGAAAACATCATAAAACTGATTAATCTTCAACACACACCAATAGAAGAAGACCTAAATACTTCAAAACCAGTTGACAATTGAGCATCCCAGAACTTCCAGCACATAGATCTAACTCCCTCTCACTCATGTTGATGTCATTCGAGCAACTCTTTTCAAAATTGATTTGGTTATTCTTCAAGTTGACTTGGGAAAGAGTATATTCATATGTGTTACCCAATTTAGAGTTTTAGGTATTGAACAAAGCAAGGAGAAGCATACACAAAGGTGTGTATTCCAAATGAATGCCCCCACCTTCAAAGAACTCTATTTAATTAAGATGGGCGCAATATATGTACAATTACATAGATGCCCTTTATTATGAGGGCTAGGGCTGTTCATAAGACTAATCAAATTGACCAACTTGGCCCAACTTGACCTGAGTTGGTTGGTTTTCAACTATTTTCGGTTGGCTTTGGTTCATGCGTTATGCTAATCCAAGAGGTCGGGTCAGTTTCAGTTTGGCCATGTGCAAACAGACCAAAACTGACCCGACCCGACTATAGATATATATTAATATTAATATTTTGTACTTTGTTGTTTTCTTTGAAATAAAAATATTTTATATTTTAAGTTTAATACTACCGCTGCAATTATTAATTAACTTTGTTGTTTTAAATTTTTATCCAATCAAACCATGCTTCCTAGTTTAACAAATTAGTTTCTAGGCTGTCTTTTGAACTGACCGACCAAACTGATAAACTGCCCCAAACTGATATATCCTGAGTTGGCTGGTTTTCACTAATGGTCAGTCGGTTTCGGGTTGCCAATTCCTCAATCTGATCAGGTTCAGTTAGCCAAACAGCCTGTAACTGAACCAAACTGACCCGTGAACACCCCTAATGAGGGCAGACCAAAGAGAAACACACACTGATTGCCTATATACAAGTTAGGATATTACAGTAGAACCCAAAAAATAAAAATATAACTATATGCAAGATTGAGACTGTCTACAATATTTTATTTTTGAGAAACTTGAAAATTCACATTTAAGCAGAAATCCTCCAAAGGAGCATACATTTATGTGAAACTTCAGTTTTTCAAAATGTGAACACCATTAGTTTCTTAAATTGAATGCTTGAAACATCGTCTTACTATCCTACATATTATTCTTAATGCTTCAGGTATTTGAGACGGAAGCATCTTTTGGATGTCACTGAAATCTTCCGTTTAGTTAATGAAGAGAAGAAGTATCGAATGGTCAAGCTTGGTTTTTATCTGGTTCTATTCTTCATAGTCATATACAGGTCTGTCTTCCACATCGCTAGAATTGTTTTAATCCTCTTTTTGAGCATTAAATTCTGTTAGCTGAGCACTTGCATTGGTTCTTAATAGTTAATCTAAGTTAATTGCATGATTTTGTTGGGGACTGATGGAACACATGCTTGTTCCATAATTAGTTTTCAATTCTCTCCTTTTATCTATGCTTGACACCCTTTGGCTATATATATAATATATAGATCAGGAATTAGCACCTTACATTTTGACAAGCTGAAAGATATCGTGACTTGGTTAACTTCTTAGCTGGTGGGAAACTCTTATGTATCTGTTTGGAATGCTTAAATTACTGAACTGGTCTTCAAAATATCTTATTGCAATAAAATATTTTCATGCAATCTTGCTACTAGTAGATATGGAAAAGTAGAGTTATTATTACACTGCAGGAGCAGATCCTACATCCTCCAGAAGGAAAAGTGGAACTTGTCTTTAAGATTTTTTTCGCTAGAAAACTTGTCTTTAGGATTTTCCTTATTAATAAATGCTCCTTAGGGTCTTATCTTTTGTGGGTTTCAGCATACAACCTTTAATTAGTGATTAACAGGATATTAGCAATGGGCTTGTAGCTGTCAGGCACAAAGTGATTAGGTATATGCTTGTATCATTTCGATTCATTCCTTAAACCAATCCCATTGGTTAATTGTGAAGACCATTTGCCTTTTGATCTCCCAGATGCTACTTGCAAAGTGTGCTTGGCATGCACTGAATGACCCCGACTGATATATTATATTTCATCCAAAGTTGGTGTTATAATTCGGCCTGCCTTTGAGTTCTGTTTGTCTGTTACTAGTAAAGAAGAAAGAAGAAGAAAGAAGGAAGAAAGAGAGAGAGAAAGGAGGAGAAAAGAAGAGAAGAAAAGTCTAGTTCGAATTAGGGAAAAAAATCACTCCCATTCGGCTAGACATGTTTTTATATTATTAATATAATGGAAAAGACACAAGTGCCTTTTATTAAGTAAGAGACACTAGTTCTAACATCATATTACAGATCAGCAACCTCAACATCAGTATAAAGACAGAAATACCCCTACGCTAACACTCCCCCTCAAGCTGGTGAGTATATATCATATAATCACAGCTTGTTACATATGTAGTCCACTCTTCCCCGACTCAACCCTTTTGTAAATAAGTCTGCCCAC